ACAATGATGGGGTGGCCCCTCCCTGGACCCCCCAGGCAGTCATGGGCTGTTGCATAGGCCCCTCCTGATCCCTTTGACCATGCAAAACCCCATCTAGACTGGACAATTTCATTCACTCTCTCTCCCATTTCAGAAAAAATGGGCGGCTTCCTCGGCGCGTCAAGACAACAGCCAGTGTGCACCTCAGAGGTTCTTCCAGCTTGCCAGGTGAGCTTCAAACAGCCCAAGGCACCCTAGGAAACTGGTCAAAAATCAAATCAAAATTCTTTTTCTCTCTGTCTTTTTTTAAAGAGCTTGTGTAGACTTAAGACTTTCAGCAGGTTTAAGGGCAGCTATAGGAGCCCTTAAACCTGCTGAAAGTCTTAAGTCTACAATGATGGGGTGGCCCCTCCCTGGACCCCCCAGGCAGTCATGGGCTGTTGCATAGGCCCCTCCTGATCCCTTTGACCATGCAAAACCCCATCTTGGCTGAACAATTTCATTCACTCTCTCTCCCATTTCAGAAAAAATGGGCGGCTTCCTCGACGCGTCAAGACAACAGCCAGTGTGCACCTCAGAGGTTCTTCCAGCTTGCCAGGTGAGCTTCAAACAGCCCAAGGCACCCTAGGAAACTGGTCAAAAATCAAATCAAAATTCTTTTTCTCTCTGTCTTTTTTTAAAGAGCTTGTGTAGACTTAAGACTTTCAGCAGGTTTAAGGGCAGCTATAGGAGCCCTTAAACCTGCTGAAAGTCTTAAGTCTACAATGATGGGGTGGCCCCTCCCTGGACCCCCCAGGCAGTCATGGGCTGTTGCATAGGCCCCTCCTGATCCCTTTGACCATGCAAAACCCCATCTTGGCTGAACAATTTCATTCACTCTCTCTCCCATTTCAGAAAAAATGGGCGGCTTCCTCGGCGCGTCAAGACAACAGCCAGTGTGCACCTCAGAGGTTCTTCCAGCTTGCCAGGTGAGCTTCAAACAGCCCAAGGCACCCTAGGAAACTGGTCAAAAATCAAATCAAAATTCTTTTTCTCTCTGTCTTTTTTTAAAGAGCTTGTGTAGACTTAAGACTTTCAGCAGGTTTAAGGGCAGCTATAGGGGCCCTTAAACCTGCTGAAAGTCTTAAGTCTACAATGATGGGGTGGCCCCTCCCTGGACCCCCCAGGCAGTCATGGGCTGTTGCATAGGCCCCTCCTGATCCCTTTGACCATGCAAAACCCCATCTTGGCTGAACAATTTCATTCACTCTCTCTCCCATTTCAGAAAAAATGGGCGGCTTCCTCAGCGCGTCAAGACAACAGCCAGTGTGCACCTCAGAGGTTCTTCCAGCTTGCCAGGTGAGCTTCAAACAGCCCAAGGCACCCTAGGAAACTGGTCAAAAATCAAATCAAAATTCTTTTTCTCTCTGTCTTTTTTTAAAGAGCTTGTGTAGACTTAAGACTTTCAGCAGGTTTAAGGGCAGCTATAGGAGCCCTTAAACCTGCTGAAAGTCTTAAGTCTACAATGATGGGGTGGCCCCTCCCTGGACCCCCCAGGCAGTCATGGGCTGTTGCATAGGCCCCTCCTGATCCCTTTGACCATGCAAAACCCCATCTTGGCTGAACAATTTCATTCACTCTCTCTCCCATTTCAGAAAAAATGGGCGGCTTCCTCGACGCGTCAAGACAACAGCCAGTGTGCACCTCAGAGGTTCTTCCAGCTTGCCAGGTGAGCTTCAAACAGCCCAAGGCACCCTAGGAAACTGGTCAAAAATCAAATCAAAATTCTTTTTCTCTCTGTCTTTTTTTAAAGAGCTTGTGTAGACTTAAGACTTTCAGCAGGTTTAAGGGCAGCTATAGGAGCCCTTAAACCTGCTGAAAGTCTTAAGTCTACAATGATGGGGTGGCCCCTCCCTGGACCCCCCAGGCAGTCATGGGCTGTTGCATAGGCCCCTCCTGATCCCTTTGACCATGCAAAACCCCATCTAGACTGGACAATTTCATTCACTCTCTCTCCCATTTCAGAAAAAATGGGCGGCTTCCTCGGCGCGTCAAGACAACAGCCAGTGTGCACCTCAGAGGTTCTTCCAGCTTGCCAGGTGAGCTTCAAACAGCCCAAGGCACCCTAGGAAACTGGTCAAAAATCAAATCAAAATTCTTTTTCTCTCTGTCTTTTTTTAAAGAGCTTGTGTAGACTTAAGACTTTCAGCAGGTTTAAGGGCAGCTATAGGAGCCCTTAAACCTGCTGAAAGTCTTAAGTCTACAATGATGGGGTGGCCCCTCCCTGGACCCCCCAGGCAGTCATGGGCTGTTGCATAGGCCCCTCCTGATCCCTTTGACCATGCAAAACCCCATCTTGGCTGAACAATTTCATTCACTCTCTCTCCCATTTCAGAAAAAATGGGCGGCTTCCTCGACGCGTCAAGACAACAGCCAGTGTGCACCTCAGAGGTTCTTCCAGCTTGCCAGGTGAGCTTCAAACAGCCCAAGGCACCCTAGGAAACTGGTCAAAAATCAAATCAAAATTCTTTTTCTCTCTGTCTTTTTTTAAAGAGCTTGTGTAGACTTAAGACTTTCAGCAGGTTTAAGGGCAGCTATAGGAGCCCTTAAACCTGCTGAAAGTCTTAAGTCTACAATGATGGGGTGGCCCCTCCCTGGACCCCCCAGGCAGTCATGGGCTGTTGCATAGGCCCCTCCTGATCCCTTTGACCATGCAAAACCCCATCTTGGCTGAACAATTTCATTCACTCTCTCTCCCATTTCAGAAAAAATGGGCGGCTTCCTCGGCGCGTCAAGACAACAGCCAGTGTGCACCTCAGAGGTTCTTCCAGCTTGCCAGGTGAGCTTCAAACAGCCCAAGGCACCCTAGGAAACTGGTCAAAAATCAAATCAAAATTCTTTTTCTCTCTGTCTTTTTTTAAAGAGCTTGTGTAGACTTAAGACTTTCAGCAGGTTTAAGGGCAGCTATAGGAGCCCTTAAACCTGCTGAAAGTCTTAAGTCTACAATGATGGGGTGGCCCCTCCCTGGACCCCCCAGGCAGTCATGGGCTGTTGCATAGGCCCCTCCTGATCCCTTTGACCATGCAAAACCCCATCTTGGCTGAACAATTTCATTCACTCTCTCTCCCATTTCAGAAAAAATGGGCGGCTTCCTCGACGCGTCAAGACAACAGCCAGTGTGCACCTCAGAGGTTCTTCCAGCTTGCCAGGTGAGCTTCAAACAGCCCAAGGCACCCTAGGAAACTGGTCAAAAATCAAATCAAAATTCTTTTTCTCTCTGTCTTTTTTTAAAGAGCTTGTGTAGACTTAAGACTTTCAGCAGGTTTAAGGGCAGCTATAGGAACCCTTAAACCTGCTGAAAGTCTTAAGTCTACAATGATGGGGTGGCCCCTCCCTGGACCCCCCAGGCAGTCATGGGCTGTTGCATAGGCCCCTCCTGATCCCTTTGACCATGCAAAACCCCATCTAGACTGGACAATTTCATTCACTCTCTCTCCCATTTCAGAAAAAATGGGCGGCTTCCTCGGCGCGTCAAGACAACAGCCAGTGTGCACCTCAGAGGTTCTTCCAGCTTGCCAGGTGAGCTTCAAACAGCCCAAGGCACCCTAGGAAACTGGTCAAAAATCAAATCAAAATTCTTTTTCTCTCTGTCTTTTTTTAAAGAGCTTGTGTAGACTTAAGACTTTCAGCAGGTTTAAGGGCAGCTATAGGAGCCCTTAAACCTGCTGAAAGTCTTAAGTCTACAATGATGGGGTGGCCCCTCCCTGGACCCCCCAGGCAGTCATGGGCTGTTGCATAGGCCCCTCCTGATCCCTTTGACCATGCAAAACCCCATCTTGGCTGAACAATTTCATTCACTCTCTCTCCCATTTCAGAAAAAATGGGCGGCTTCCTCAGCGCGTCAAGACAACAGCCAGTGTGCACCTCAGAGGTTCTTCCAGCTTGCCAGGTGAGCTTCAAACAGCCCAAGGCACCCTAGGAAACTGGTCAAAAATCAAATCAAAATTCTTTTTCTCTCTGTCTTTTTTTAAAGAGCTTGTGTAGACTTAAGACTTTCAGCAGGTTTAAGGGCAGCTATAGGAGCCCTTAAACCTGCTGAAAGTCTTAAGTCTACAATGATGGGGTGGCCCCTCCCTGGACCCCCCAGGCAGTCATGGGCTGTTGCATAGGCCCCTCCTGATCCCTTTGACCATGCAAAACCCCATCTTGGCTGAACAATTTCATTCACTCTCTCTCCCATTTCAGAAAAAATGGGCGGCTTCCTCGACGCGTCAAGACAACAGCCAGTGTGCACCTCAGAGGTTCTTCCAGCTTGCCAGGTGAGCTTCAAACAGCCCAAGGCACCCTAGGAAACTGGTCAAAAATCAAATCAAAATTCTTTTTCTCTCTGTCTTTTTTTAAAGAGCTTGTGTAGACTTAAGACTTTCAGCAGGTTTAAGGGCAGCTATAGGAGCCCTTAAACCTGCTGAAAGTCTTAAGTCTACAATGATGGGGTGGCCCCTCCCTGGACCCCCCAGGCAGTCATGGGCTGTTGCATAGGCCCCTCCTGATCCCTTTGACCATGCAAAACCCCATCTTGGCTGAACAATTTCATTCACTCTCTCTCCCATTTCAGAAAAAATGGGCGGCTTCCTCAGCGCGTCAAGACAACAGCCAGTGTGCACCTCAGAGGTTCTTCCAGCTTGCCAGGTGAGCTTCAAACAGCCCAAGGCACCCTAGGAAACTGGTCAAAAATCAAATCAAAATTCTTTTTCTCTCTGTCTTTTTTTAAAGAGCTTGTGTAGACTTAAGACTTTCAGCAGGTTTAAGGGCAGCTATAGGAGCCCTTAAACCTGCTGAAAGTCTTAAGTCTACAATGATGGGGTGGCCCCTCCCTGGACCCCCCAGGCAGTCATGGGCTGTTGCATAGGCCCCTCCTGATCCCTTTGACCATGCAAAACCCCATCTAGACTGGACAATTTCATTCACTCTCTCTCCCATTTCAGAAAAAATGGGCGGCTTCCTCGGCGCGTCAAGACAACAGCCAGTGTGCACCTCAGAGGTTCTTCCAGCTTGCCAGGTGAGCTTCAAACAGCCCAAGGCACCCTAGGAAACTGGTCAAAAATCAAATCAAAATTCTTTTTCTCTCTGTCTTTTTTTAAAGAGCTTGTGTAGACTTAAGACTTTCAGCAGGTTTAAGGGCAGCTATAGGAGCCCTTAAACCTGCTGAAAGTCTTAAGTCTACAATGATGGGGTGGCCCCTCCCTGGACCCCCCAGGCAGTCATGGGCTGTTGCATAGGCCCCTCCTGATCCCTTTGACCATGCAAAACCCCATCTTGGCTGAACAATTTCATTCACTCTCTCTCCCATTTCAGAAAAAATGGGCGGCTTCCTCGACGCGTCAAGACAACAGCCAGTGTGCACCTCAGAGGTTCTTCCAGCTTGCCAGGTGAGCTTCAAACAGCCCAAGGCACCCTAGGAAACTGGTCAAAAATCAAATCAAAATTCTTTTTCTCTCTGTCTTTTTTTAAAGAGCTTGTGTAGACTTAAGACTTTCAGCAGGTTTAAGGGCAGCTATAGGAGCCCTTAAACCTGCTGAAAGTCTTAAGTCTACAATGATGGGGTGGCCCCTCCCTGGACCCCCCAGGCAGTCATGGGCTGTTGCATAGGCCCCTCCTGATCCCTTTGACCATGCAAAACCCCATCTTGGCTGAACAATTTCATTCACTCTCTCTCCCATTTCAGAAAAAATGGGTGGCTTCCTCGACGCGTCAAGACAACAGCCAGTGTGCACCTCAGAGGTTCTTCCAGCTTGCCAGGTGAGCTTCAAACAGCCCAAGGCACCCTAGGAAACTGGTCAAAAATCAAATCAAAATTCTTTTTCTCTCTGTCTTTTTTTAAAGAGCTTGTGTAGACTTAAGACTTTCAGCAGGTTTAAGGGCAGCTATAGGGGCCCTTAAACCTGCTGAAAGTCTTAAGTCTACAATGATGGGGTGGCCCCTCCCTGGACCCCCCAGGCAGTCATGGGCTGTTGCATAGGCCCCTCCTGATCCCTTTGACCATGCAAAACCCCATCTAGACTGAACAATTTCATTCACTCTCTCTCCCATTTCAGAAAAAATGGGCAGCATCAAGCTGGACAGTCATTGTACATGTCTATGTTTAGTTCTCCATGTGATGTAATTAAATTGAAGGAAATTAATATTAAAACTAAAAGTTTTAATGTTAGTTATTTCTGTGTTTGATTATGGATTTACTGCAGACTCAATGGATATTAAACGCAATTGTCCTTGTGCCTTATAATGGTTCAGGTTAAACTATACTTTATTAAACTATATATGAGGATAGAGCAACCTTTATATCTGAAAGACATGCTCCATTTGCTTTATCTGCGTGGTTGAACCTTGGCTCTATTAATATCAAAGTTGGCAGTGTAGCAGAGGATGACATCAACCACATATTAGAATGGATCCCCTACTCTTTTACAATCCATCCACTGGTTTAGATAGAGGGGGGTTCAATTCTCTTGTGTATGATGTTTCTTTGTCCCAATTTCTCCGACAGATTGATTTTTTTATTAATTGTGCATGTACATCTTTTATGCATGTAGTCTGGTGATATTTTTTGCAGAGTATTACACCCAGAGTGAGCCACCTTATCGCAAGCACAGAGTCAGCGATCTAACCCACTGAGTCTTCCACAAAATGAAAGTCCAACAACTGGTAGTCTGATTTCGTACTTCATGTACACCCCCCACCCTATCATAACCTGTAATTTGTCAGTGGAGGTATTATTAGATCTTACCCTGATTGTAGGAAGAAATGTTACAGGAAAGAAAGTTACAGAAATAAAGTTACATGACCAGCATAGACTGCTTGATACCCAACCTGGAATACCTGTTTCCTGTGCTATGATGTTCTGTCAGTATTGGGTGAAAACACATTGTGTAGTAGTATGCTAAGTGTCTGCACCAAGAATAACTTCCTAGTAGAGAACTTAATTGTGAGGCAGTTAACATTAAGTATAACATTACATGCTAATTACTCACTCAGAACTAGAAATTATGAAATAACTTTTTCATGTTAATTATTGTGGAAAGTATCTTTTTATCTTTACATGAATATATTATGCCTTATTTCGTGTGGTTTCTCTAAATTCTTATATTCAAAACTACAGGGTAAATGTAGAAATAGAAATAAACTTTAAATTTGAAAAATAAATAAATGCCATTATAAATGCATTTGTGAATATGACACATGAAAAAGTTACTTCCTTTTCACTATTTACCAATTTTGTCAAATCCTGACAGACTTGGTTCAAATATATTTAGATTTAAAAATGTGATTTAAAACACGACTTTATATCTTGCATGTCATTGCAGAATATTGTAGAATATCATAAGGCTTGGTAATTTATATATTTATTGGGGGGTGATCATGAAGAAATTACACAGCAAATAAAGGATGGGGTTGGGGAGGGGCGTTTAATGACAACATGTAGGGGGTCACCAAAATTTATCACAATTATATTTGGGGGAGTGGGTACGTACAACATAAATGACATGGTTCTGTATTATTTTGAATAAAAAGGTTAAATATTTCATTTGTTATATGTTATAAATGTCCATGAAAATGCAATCTGTATATATTGGGGACATAATAAATGCACATAAAATGTGTGTGTGTGTGTGGTTGGGGGGTGGGGGGTGGGGGGGGGGGAGGGTCTCATCTAAATATGGTCCTAACCAGGTTGATAATTAAGGTCCTCTACCTCCTTCTCACACAGATACCTGTATATTTCCACCCCTTTATGTTTGCATGGTGCTCTCACATGGGGGCAATGTGTTCTTTCGTTCAATACACAACATGCTTTTGATCTAATTAATACAGAGAGCTGGCATGTTGGTGTATGTAGGATGCAATATTATGCAATCCTCAGGACCATGGTTTATGGTCACTGATCTGGTACTGTTCATTCCTCGTTTCTGTCAATCATGATGAATTAGCCAATGAAAACACTTGTTTCATTGAAAAGGCCAATGACCATCGCTTCCTGAAGTTAGTAGCTAAGAATATAAGATTGTTGTATGTGGTTGTTTATGGAATGTGAATGACTTTTCAACTGTGCCAGGTACTAGTCTGTATCAACAATCCATGTGTGTAACATTGAATCATATCTCCTTGTTATATTTCTCTGTTGGATTGGCGCTACAATTATCTGTCCTGATGACAGTTAAACATTGCAGGTTAGTAATATCATTGCTTTAGGCACAAACGTTTCAGCATATCTTTAATGATTGACATATCTCTGGTAATTAGCAGTGATAATTGCCATGTATGATACTTCCTCATATCAAATAATTCTTGTTTTGGTAATAATACATATTTTGAAAGTCTTAAAGAGAAGACCTCCAAACCTGAGTATTTGCAGCACCATGTTCATGGGATAGAAGTAAAATGCTGTTTCGCAATTTGGACCTGTATTCTTCATTTGTTACAAAAATATGAAAGTATCATATTTTCCAATGTTTCAAATTGTTTCTATTTGAAGGATTTGTAGAACAATTTAGGGGGTCACATTATGTAGAGAAATAATTGTCTTTTATTGTAAAAAATTAGTAATGAAAATGAAACTGTTCAAATACTAGTCCAAATTTCTTTTCGATATGATCTGTGGATTAAGGGGTTCTTTACTTTTTATTGTTGTATCCAGCAAGTGATATTATTTGATTGATAACGGTGTTAGAACCTACACTGAAACGTCGCTCTTAATTGTAAGAAAGAAGTTGTTCATCCAAAAATTCTTAACCTTGCTCACTATACAGTTTATATATTTTATGCATGTCATTATGTCATAAGAGTCAGTATTACACGAACAGTCAATATGTAGTCACACATAGTTATATAATAATGGATAGCAGGGGTAAAGTAAACAACTGCATCATTTCTAGTTTGATATAACTTATCTTGGTACATCAAGATTGTATTAAGTTTACTGAACAGAGTGTTTGCTATTTATAAATGAACAGTTTTTAAAAACAATTATTCATAAGACTGAAAATGCAATCTGTATATATTGGGGACATAATAAATGCACATAAAGTGTGTGGGGGGTGGTGGTGGGGTGGGGGGGCTCATCTAAATATGGTCCTAACCTCAATCCCATTATAAATTACCCATACCTAAGGTTGATAATTAAGGTCCTCTACCTCCTTCTCACACAGATACCTGTATATTTCGACCCCTTTATGTTTGTATGGTGCAATGGGGGCAATGTGTTCTTTCATTCAATACACAACATGCTTTTGATCTCATTAATACAGAGAGCTGGCAGATTGTAAAAAACAATATTCATGAGACTTGTATACTTCATACTGATATTTCCACACTGAAGAGAGGTACTGCCAGAGACTATGGCAGGATGGGGACCCCAGCAACTGATAAATGGCGATCACATTACAAATGTTCTCCCTGGGTCTGGGCAAAAAACACAAAGCACACATTCAACAATTGTCAACAATTTAGGAAAACTAGTTTCATGTAGTATCATTTGTTTGCAGATGAGATTCCTGAATATCTGTCAGAATGTCAGATGATTTGAGGAAACAGACAGAGTCCAGTACATCCCAACCAATGGCAAGAGTAAGTACCAACACTATGAATTCATACAATGATATGTATATGTTACTTTTTTTAACTCTTTGTTTAGATCAAAGTTAATTTGATTAGGTACTTATGTTTACAAGTTCTACTTACATTAGATATCTAATGTTTTGGTCATTATTGTAAGATAGGATTTGTAGGTCCAGAATAAAATATATTCCTTTCCATTTTGTAAGGCCTTGTAATGATTACTGTCAGTACATCATTTACTTCAGTTCCCACCAGTTTGTAAGTTCAATATTATTAGAACTGACATGCATTGTAACTAAAACAAGTAATGCAAAGTGCATGGTGGAACCAGGCCTTTATTTCTTAGTCTGAAGAAAAGTGATAACTTAATTGTTTCATGTAACTACTTCGTACACAGCAATATTTAAAATTCGGCAATAGCTGAACTATTGTGTCATGATGACATCTTGATATGTTTGTTAAGAATGGTATAATTAGTTTGTTCAATAATCATTAGAACAGAACAGGTACTCATACATCTCATGTTCATCTATTTTTCTGAAGTAATATTGCTTAGCCTTTGTATGATGTGGTGATAACTTCATGGTGTGACAATCTGTCCATTATACCATACTGTGAGTATGTATACCCAAATAAAGACACAAACTAAAGAGGAATCTTTGAAGATAATCATTAGCTCACCCTGGGGTTAGGCTGTGTGTCTGCTACTGATCTATATAACACATTCTGCATGTAATTAGCTACAAACCACATGGACATTTCCCCACACAGACAGTTCCCAACACTGACATTTCCCTACTCAGACATTTCCCTACATGACAATCTGTTCTTGTATATTGAGGGTCCTTCTACTTCTACAACCTATGCTAAATAACTTGTTAATTTTTATGATTTTCCCATTACCATGAGCCTATGATGTGTACTTTTTATAGTGAGCATGACATTCTATACAGTTCTGTATACCGTAATCTAGTGTTTTAAGTATGAATACTTGACACTAAAATAGGGGCCATTTCTGCAAGTAGTAAACATTTTGAAAAGTTCTTTTCCAAGATGTGATTATGGGAAGATTTTCCTTTCTTTCTTTACAATCATTAGGATAACCTGGTATTCTGAAATACTGAAATAATGCATAGAATTAAGGGTTACGTGTTTACATTGCCTGATTGTCTTTATTTACCATATATATTACAATATGAACACATTTCAGTGAATCTTGTGATTTGAAAGGCTGATATGGCATTCATTATGAAAACAGTTACTCTATATGCAGTTTATTTTAAGACTAGCACCATGTACCACATTCACAATCAATAAGAAAGAAATAGTTCTGAGTGTCTGTTTATTTGAATTTTCCTTGAATCCTAGAAATATGATTGTGGAAAATAGATTGTTAGTCATCATTCTTTTGTCAGCATCAGCAACCAAATATGAGGACATGTTGAAGAACGTTATCACAAAATTTCAATGAACACTCGAGTACTTATTGGGAATTACAGTATGTGTTTTGAACAAATCATGTACTATTTCTCTTCTCTGGCTCAGCCTAACATGTGACATGTACATTGCCCAATGAGGGTGAGTTTCTGTATCTTTGGTAATGTGTTTTTGTAGGATGACTAATGCACATAGTCAATAAATTTAGTAATATGAAAGAAAAGCCTGGTAAATATGATTATGGACATCATGTATGACATACAGTTGAACATGATGTAATAGGTTTGCTTTTAATGCATTTCAGGTAAAATGTTCAAGAAAAAGAAGTATTGGTGTGATTTCAAAGGAGAATTACGACTGCCTTAGATTAAAACTTGAAGGAGGTGACATTCCCAAGGATAGCAAGACTGTCAAGTTTTACCATGTCTGCCAGAAAATACAGAAGTTCAATTTATCTTTGACAGAAATTCACAACCCTGTCCAAGGAGAATATAGATTGGAGATTATTGATGGGGACAGGAAAATAGTGATATCAAAGTCAGAACTTGATAATGTCATCTGCAAATTTTACACTGAGTTGCGGGGTTCTGGAGCAAAGAAAATAAGAACATTGATAAACCAGTATTATGCTGGCATTTCTCAGGAAGCCATACAAGACTTTATAGACAGGCAAGATGACAGGCAACTGTTACATCCTAAATTTGTTAATGCTGCCAAACTAAAACCGGTGATTTCAAGAACACCAATGGGGCGACATCAGGTTGACCTTGTGGAACTAACTGGAATGCCTGCAGAAAATGATGGTGAAACATTCATTTACATCTTGTCTGTTATTGATGTTTTCACAAGATTCTTGTGGCTTCGGCCTCTTTCCAACATAAGAGCCTGTTCAGTGGCATTGGAACTCAACAAAATCTACTTTGAGTATGGATGGGGAAATCCAAGAATCTTACAGTGCGATCAAGGCTCCGAGTTTAAGGGAGCAGTCAACCAACTCTGCATAGAAATGGGAACGAAGATTGTCCGAAGTCGGGCTCACCATCCACAATCTCAGGGAAAGGTGGGTGACAAATTTCAATCAAAACATGCACACTATAAACGTTGAGGTAATAGATGTAGATACTTAATAGTAAGAACATTAATGTTGATGTTATTTGGAACATGTCATCTTTAGGGCAGAGCCACACTTGCATGTGTGTGACAGATGACACCGGTGGGGCAGGATACACTAACCTTCGTGAACACCTGCTACTATCACTATTTTATGTTGATTCATAACACATGCTTATGATATTGATGGAATCATTAAGTGGACCCAGCTTTTAGAAGAGGCTTCTTATGATTATGGAAACTGTTTTTGTTATATATTTCATATATTTCATATATTTCATATACATGGTATAACACTTGTGCACACTTTTTGTGCCTGCCTAATCTGTTTACTATTTAGATGTTAATTTATTTCAGAGTGAACGATCACACCGGGATTGGAAAAGCCATCTGGAATTTGATCACAGCAAACATGGTGATGGAGAAAACTTCAACTGGGTGGAAAAGTTGCCAGCATATGCTAGAATACACAATGAAAGCATTCATTCTGCACTTGGTAAAGTTTGAATATATAGCTTTAATTTAATGTGGGCATATGTCACAAAGTGTGAAGCACATAATGTAAGCATATACTTTTCAGACTGTAAGCATGGTAAATGTGGATGTGTGACATTGAATTTATTTTACGCACTGACCAACAAATAACCATTATGACACAGTTAAATGATGATGGCTCATAACAGAAGGTACAACAGTTTCATAGTTGACCAGGTATTGACCAAAATATAGTTGCATGCACCCTTCAGGCTACTGCAAATTTATAGAACTCTGGAAATATCAATATTGCCACAGTGCAGTTGTGACATTTATTGTTGAAGAAGACATGAGAAACACAGGCTTGTATTTAAACATAATTCCTATGTTAACAGGTTGTTCACCATACAAGGCCATGCTGGGCTGCCCTCCAGTACACTTCAAGAATTTGTTGAGAGCTGGAAATACAGTTGATGCGTACTCTTGCTCTGAAGAAGATGAGCAGTGCGAACTATCTGCAGAGAGTGATGAGGTATGGAGGATTTATGTCATTACGCATAACAAGAGACAAACTCATCTATATACCCCGCCCATTGTCTAGTTTTAAATACAATGATATGTGCAATCAAATGTGACATTGTAAATTATCAGTTTGTCTCACCTCCTTGTAGAAGAGGTTGAATACAAGAGCTAATATAACATCTCCATAAACTTTGTACATCTGCTTTAGTAAAACTTTAATGATAAACAAAGGTTATAATCATCTTCAAGTTTGTGTAAGCTAAGAATATTTAGATATCATGCCTGGTATTGTAGAGCATTGTTTTCAGGCAGGTATTGTTGCAGCCCTTTATAGGTACATGTAGTTACCAGAGTAAGGTACACGGTACAGATAAGGTACAAAAGTTGTAATCATGCTGACACCTCAAAACCTGGTGAATTTCTAATACATCTACAATTAATGCTTTTATGGATTTTGTTGCAGTGTCTACTGGTGTGTCATTTAATTAGAAAAGGAAAATAAATCATATTTTGAAGTTTTTTAAAGAAAAAAGACTCTATAATAGCCATAGACTGATATTGTACAAAGTTTCATGAAGATATCTTGAACAGTTTTCGGGTTCTGCTCTGGTAAACCCCACTGCTTCCATTCAGTTCAGAGACTAAGTCAAAATTTCAAAACTTTGTACAAAATAAAAAGACAAATTTGTAGGTGCAGGGGATAATAACTGTCATCGGGTCCAGTAAACCTGTGCAATAATGACAGGAGATGTGACAAGTAGAGACATGTACATAGAACTATTTCAATTGCAAGATATTAGAAGTAATGATATGTTTAGAATATGAGGTAAAACTACATGTGAAGTGGAAGTGATATTATTTGACGTTTATGTTAGATATGTGGATATAAAAACATGGTAAATGTAATACTTTATTATTCTTTAGGATACTGGAGACGAATATGGCATTAATGAGAGAATAGAAGCAATCACAAACCTCAGGAAAAATGTGCTGCAGGCGTCACTGACCAAATCATCAGAAATGATTAAAAAACACCACGAAAACAAGGACACATCAGTGTACAAGATAGGGGATGAAGTTCTGGTGAGGGTTCATGGAAAAGATACCAGAGTCAAACGAGGTGGGCCCAAAAAAGGGATGAAAAAATGCAAGGAAGGAACTATTGTCGAAATAGATTCCCAGAACTCCCAATTCAAGGTTGCCTATCCGAACAAGCATGTGCAGTGGGAGCAGGTGTGTGACATTACTTCTCGGACAAGAAAAGAAGAGAAGAGGAGAAGAATGAGGACATATGAAGGTACATATTTCCAGTAGTAGTTTATGAATATTATGTAATTAGCAAGTATGTTTAATAATGTATTTTAAATAAAATAGTTCTTACAGAATAGATGACATCATCTATCTTGGTGGACTGTAAAGACATGATGTTTGTAATGTATTTGCTGTTTTTATCATTTCCTCCACCCAAAGTAAGTGCAGTTGGAGATACAGAAACGAGATCAGTGTGTCCATCTGTCACATTTTGTATCAAGAGCATTCAATATTTCCTCATGGACCCTCACAATTGGTGCCTTTTCCCATGCTGGAATGTTTATAATATTTCATTTGCATTTTCATGGCAACAAGTTGGTTCAAATGAGGGTGGGGTTTGTTTCCAGAGCACAATTCATAAACCATTGCGTATTTCTTCATGAAACTTTATATACACATCAGGCAGGTTCTGTTATTCTGCTATTCAGTTTCTTTGGTAGACTTTTATATTTTGCATTTCTAAGAAAATACCAAGTTGGACAGCTAATTAGAACAGTTATCAAAGATGATACAACTCATGTTGCTACTGCAGGTTGAAAAAGGTCTCCAGCAATACATGCTTGAGGTGACTAATTTGACCAGGTGATCGGGTAACTTGGTTTATTCTATGACATGGTACCCAGACAGTGTGGATGTTGCTAATACTGCAGTGTTAATTAAAAGAGAAGGAACAACATCATATTTAAAATCAGGAACATACATTAATTAATGTTTTTTATGGTTCAGAATTTTGAAAGTATTATATGGATCATAGCAAATGTAATTACATGCCATTACTAATTCATGACTTTGCAAGGTATTGAAATAATTTGGTGTAGTCATTAATTGTTATGTCATTTGTACTAAAATCTTAGGATTAATGTAGTATATGATACTTCCTGTGATATTATACATTACTTACAAGGGACATTCATTGGTTTGTCTTCTTGGAACGAAAGCTAACATTGACACAGGAGGTTAGGTGGTATACAAAACACAACTGATCAAGGGTCTGGAATCAAACTGCAGTCAATGGTTGAAGCATTTGATGATTTTCAGTTCAGTTCAGTTCCTTAACCAGTTAAATTGGTTGCTCTGTGATATGTTGGTATGTGCAGAAGAAGGCATAAATGTGATAATTTTCAAATATTTTTCTAACAGATGCTCGGCCAGATGCAAGAGAAGAGGGTAGAAAGCCACTCAAAAGGGGAAAAACACAGGATGAAAAAGGTATTACAATTTGAGACACCTCATAGGAATCTTCTGGAACGGTTAGTCTCCAAAACATTAGGCATATGCATGAATACTTGCATGCATGCATGCACAATAAGAAGGGTAATCAATACTTGTACAAATTTTCCACCTTTCAGAGTACATTTACACATATTGAACACTTCAACGGAATAAATGTTTTAAAAAAAAAATGAATGTAACGCATTACTTTATCCGGAAGGTATATGCTTGCACTTGGTGATGTATGTTTGTACTTTTAAGGAAAGGGAGAACAACAGGCTCAAACCAAGAGGAGAGACAATGCAGAAACAAAAGGTAATATCTGAATACAGATGGGTACGATCAACAAGACTGATCAATCCTAGATGCATTATTATATCTGTTGGAAGGAGTACACAAATTCTCCATATGATGTTGTGTCAGTTACTCATATGTCTTCCTGTATATCATGCACATCTGAAATGGTTCATTGTCTCAGCTGAAAAATACTACATCAGTACATGTATTGCAGAACATTACAGTTGTTTCCATAAAAACAATATACTAAGAGATATATTACAGGTCAATTTGTGTTACTTATATAATGTGTCTATGCAGGACGCAAGAAGACACCAACTATGAAAGAACTGGAGATGGAGGCCTCATTCTATGACCTTGACATTGTGGACAATGAAGGGGCTGGTAACTGCATGTTTATTGCATTGGCTCAACAGCTTCAAATACATGACATTGACATAATCAGCCATAAACATCTGCGAGAAAAGGTTGTGCAATATGTGCAGGTAAGTAAACAATAATGCATACTTTCAATTTTCTTAGGGTAGGAATTTGATATAGTGAATAAAATGTGAAAGCCTAATTGGGCTGAAGCCATGTCCTATTTGTTTGGAATCATGTTATTCTTAGAATCAGTGGACCAGCTGAAAATTTGGCATGCAAGTTTGTTCAGATTATTACACCTCAATGGATTTAAAAAGTTTATATTTGTTATCATTATGAACATTGATATGCAGTAAGAATGTTTTTTTACAATAACGGCAGTACATTTGATTTGGTGAATTTCAATTTTTATCCAGTAATGAATTCCACATATCTTTTTTTGTGTTACTGAAATTTTGGCTTACAGGACGAAACCTCAAAGCTTATGAAGCAAAGGTTTGCCTGAATAGTATTAATTATTATTGTCTCTGAAAAGTACTCACATATTTTGGATCTTATGTTAAATATGTCAATGACAATTTGCTCTCAACCTTTCCATCAAATATATTTTCATTAATTCCTCTTACGTTATGTGAGCTAGAGAGTCATGGGGCTCTATTGGTGATGCCCTTGACATTGATTAAACTTCTTTATTTAAAACAAGATAAACGAATGGTTGTCCCAATGAAGGAAACATCCCTCAGGTCAGCCTGTTTAGTAGGGTATATTACTTTCAAATGTTTTGGATATATTATGAGACACCTCTTAATATTGAGAATTTAAGTTTCAAAATTGCATGACAGTTGTCAGATAAGGTGTGTAAAATAAGCTGAATATTCACTTTTATCTGCCACATATGTACATGTACAGTTCTAATAGGTTTCATACTTCCGCAGCTCATTTATATTACATTATAATATTTGTTTTACTTTTGACCTCATAAAGTGTTATCAGGACCTTAAAAGGCATTTAAAAAATGTGATGGCTGAAATTTTGTACAGAAAGGCTGTATACACATTTCTAAATGAGCAAGTCTAAAATTATTATGCAAAGTGGCTCTTTTAGGTTACAGTATAAACCACTGACTTTATATTCAGTTGGGCTGTATGAATAATTTCTGATACTTTATGTTTACCCCAATAAATAGGTTCAAGTAAATTTTGAAAGGCATATAGATTGGGATGAGGTGAAATGGGACTAAACTTTGCATTTAAGGTAAATGCACTTATACAGCAAGCCAGTGAAAACTGTTTTTTCATTAGCTCATCTTGAATTTTCACTTTTTCCAATTTTGGGCAAACATAAAAACACTTGAACAAATTCATGGAACCTGATGAATTGCACAATTTCGATTCATTATCTATGCATGTTGCATTTAACATAAAGATGCAAGTACCAGTACTTCCCCATGGGGGTCATGCAAAATGGTATCTTCTGACAATGTGAGGTTTGTCACTTGTAGAGATTTTGTACCATTTTAGCTTTGAACTTAGATAACTATACAACACAACATTGAGTCATGTTTTTTTTTGTTTGTTTTTTTCATTTTATGTGTACTACATGTAGTATAAGAAGAAAGAAGAACAGTAACATTTCTCAGTCTCACACTAACTGAACATGTTTTAGGGCAAGCGGCGTCTGTTCAAGGACTTCGTGGATAAAAACCATTATCCAACATTCAGAGACTATATCATCAAGATGAAGATGTTGGGGGAATGGGGAGACAACATCATTCTGCAGGCAACAGCTGACCTCTATAAGGTGACCATCAGGATCATTACAACAATTGCAAATGAGCCTACATTCATTCGTCCAGCTGAATACCGAGGAGACATGCCAGTACTAAGCATAGGCCACTTGTGGGAGCTGCATTATGTGACACTCATACCAATGTCCACAGAAGGAGGTTTGTCCTTTATTGATGGTACAGTTAAAATAATTATGGCAGGTCACCATGTCAAAGCATTCAGAACTTGTGTAGGTTTTTGCGATATATACCTATAACATTACATATTACTCAAAACAGTTAACTCTTCACGCTGAAACAAAGCCCAATAATGCCTAGCATTGTGCAAGTGCCAGCATGTGCATGTTCTTTAAGTTAAGAACTAAATTACACTTGGATCGTCACATTGAGACCGTGGCATGTACCTATTATCAGATATAAATTTATGACATCTCTGACCACAGAGATATCAGTATATTACTATATTGGTACTGAACATTTCATATATTCACAGACTCATTGGAAATTAAGGATAGAGAGCTAATATAAGTATACTTCTGACATTAACCATTTCATACTTATCATACACAGAAAAAACATTCTTGTGTTCATTCACATGCTTGTTACTTGTACAAGGATTACGCATACTGGTTCCACATTTCACATACAATCATGTTTCATTTTAAGAGAAAGAGATGGAAGCAGCTAATGACACCAAAATGGACACAGAAGATGAATCAGATTCAGATTCCAAGTATCCAATCAACACTGCTGTATGGGAACACAAGGTATGTCCAAACCCAATGCAACACCTGCAAGAAGACATTTCCTTATTATTGTGTCAGCTGCTTAATGATAAATCCATTAATGTTTTCAGTATGAAATATTAACCAAAGATGATTTCAGATGTACTTTTGTTTTAATAAAAAAAATTCTAAAAATTATATCTGAGTAAACAGTACTCTTGTATTACCTTCATAAATGTTTTTGCCATGGTGCCTTCATATTTCACAATACATTATTTGAAAGTTTAGCTTAACAATTGTAAGAGGCACATGTCAGTTGCTGCCATTAGATACCTGATAAGAAGGTATTATTCACTCTCAGTAAGATGTTTTCTTAAACTTGTGTTAATGATGTTTCTCTTTACTAAAATTTATACAGAAAGAAAATGTAGTGGCACACCTGCAGAGAATTGCTGCAAGAGATGCACCGTGAGTTTTGTTGGCAGATAACTTGGAATGACTTTCAATCCAGATATAGTAATAACTGGGTTTTTATTCCAGTTGCTTCTCATAGTGTTTGATTTACTCCTAACCTGTGTTTGTGGGTTTTACCAAAACGAAACAAGCTAAAACAATGAATTATTGAAGTACCAATAAAACACGAAGCACTAATTGAAGTCCTGAATGGATACTGTGTTAGAACTAGTCCCTAGCAACCTATGCTTGTCACACCAGGAGACTTAATGGATACTGTGTTAGAACTAGTCCCTAGCAACCTATGCTTGTCACACCAGGAGACTTAAAGGATACTGTGTTAGAACTAGTCCCTAGCTACCTATGCTTGTCACACCAGAGACTCAATGGATCAGGTGGTAAATCTCTGTGACCCTGGATGAATTTATGACATCATACATTATGACTGTGATAACTTTGCTCATAATATCAAAACACTATTTGGTCTTGTTGAGACACAATATAGTATTGATATTGCTGAGTGGGGCACTGAACAACAAACACTCATTTTAGATATGTTTTTCAGTGAGGAACAACTTCAAAGGCATGATGAGTTTGTCAGCGGCTTCCCAACACCAGACCGAAGAGTCAATTTTGCAGAGGGATATCTGTCTCAATATGTATGTACCTTCTCAAATGTGACAGTTGCCTCATATATTATTTTTAACAAACATCCTTCCAATCATTGCTCATGAAAACGTTACATGAAAATTTGTGAGCTTCAATGCAAGACCATGCTTTAAGGATTGTGTACATGATAACTTACAGCCCTGTCATTTGGGACTCCTTATAGGATCTGGTGGAATAGGAGAGCTAATGTTGTCTTCGGGGATATTCTCATGTATATATATTCTGGCAGCTTATTGATTCCTACAATCGATACCACCTCAATTTCAAAGGAATATCAGTCAAGCTGTCCATTCTTTTGATATATAAAAATGGGTTCAATCTGTCATTGTATTCTGTTGAGAACAGTGCACAGATTATTGAACAAATACCCACCTGAAGGTTTTGGGTTACACCTACTGAGAAAGCATTACTACTTCCATCACCAAATGAGACTTGGTAAACTACAATAACATGAAATTTCATGTAGGTAAGAAGATACTATGACAATGCATTGAGATAACCTGTCAGATAGTTTTAAGAGTGAATAATTCATTATAGGTACTTTAGTACATTCAGGTTTGGAAACTGTGGCATAATAAGAATTGTTTTCCTATGAATAACACTGTAGACATAGAAGGAAGTAATCAACCAGTGTGAGAGCATGGAAGTCATACTGCATACTGCATTAAGTATATGTTTTGTCTGACTTCTAGTAACGTCTGTACCATTTTTATTTAGATAATTTAGTTCATGCAATTACTAGGTTAATTGGAATTGGACCTTCTTGTTGGATCTGTTCCTGTAGTAGCCATGTGCTCAGGTCCTTGCCCATCTGTTTCTTTATGCATATGAATCAGAACTTCTGCTCGGATTGGCAAAATAAAAAACACAGGAATTCAGTCAAGAATTTTGACTTTAGATTCCTGTATATCAATGATCTGAAATTGTTCAATAATGTAAGTAGCCATTCCCTTCCACTGAACTGGAAATAAAAGAGACTAGTACATCTGTTTTATATTTTGGTCTATGCATAAAGATTCAGAGTGACAGTAAAGTATACACAAGACTAGAACAAATAGGATGACGTCAACTTTCTAGTACTCAACTATGCTTTTATGTCTGACAATTTTCAAACAGCTACAGCCTTTTAAGGTACAATTGAGCGTGCTCTTTCTACAAAGTTTTTCAAAGAGTGCCATACAACTCTTGCTTCAAACTTGTTTGATCAAGGCTACAATATTCAAGGCCTCAGCAAGCTTTCAAAACATTTCATGGTAGACATGTGGAAGCCATTTCCAACTTTAATGCATTAATGACCAAAATGATGTCCCATGCAATTCCTTTTTTTGACTTGTACCATATGTTCCCATATTTATTTAGGTGTCACGAGTCTTGCCTTTGCATGTGTTTGTGATTGGTGTCATAAGTGGGAAATGACACCCTCACCTTTCTTTGAACACCCTGTATTGACAGTTGTTCATAAAAACATGCTTGTGATATGGTGAAACTCGTAAAAAAGACTTCCCTTTAAGCAGAAATTTCACATGATAATAGAAAGGGATTTGTTGATTATTGTTTTTTATGTTTATGAAAATGTTTTTTCCACTTTTATTCCCACACACAGTATTTTTATCTGAAAGTGCATGATGGTAAGTCATGAGGAAATTGTGGTGCCCCTGTTGTCACAAGTACAATTTAAACACGTTCCAAATTAACTTGTGCTTTTAACTAAAACGAAATGTTATTAGTGTTGCTATATCTGCTTATATTTGCTTAACTACTTACTTCATTACATAACAAAACGTGTATTCCCTATATATTTTGCATACTTTTATTATTGTTTCAGATGCAGCAAAAAATGCTTCAGTACTTGATATCAGCTTTGACATTAACAAGACTGAAAGATACACGGTATTAAATATTAATATTTTATGACACTTTGTGAAACAGGTTGTTTCAAATAATTCCTGATAACATACATTATATTTAAGTTTTGAGGTTATACCAGAGGAATGAGACAGATACCATGATTGGCTTAATGTTACATTTATTTGCATTTACTAAAAATGTATTGTAGGATTGGCTTTCGTTTTCATTCATGGAATGTCATGTAAATTTCTGATGAAGTACTCTACACATGACACATATTGCCATCAAATAAGCAACAATGCAGGCAGTTAACTGCCAAACACACTGACATATAGACACTTCCACTTGACATGTAATAAACCAAGTCATCGAACCTGACCATCAGATAAATTAGGTTAGCATATGTTGGTATGGACCTATGTTCTGTCCCATGGGGTACTTACCCAACAGTTGACTATGATGAAATGTTGGATTTCTTGGTTGATACAGGAGGATATACTCAGGAAGTATGCGACTGTTCAAGTGCAAGGTTGAAAAGAAGCTGGAACTTTTAACGCAAAAGCACATGATGTAAGAATACCTTTATGTTGAAAAAACACATGATTTACGCCACCGTGGTCTAGTGGATAGAGCATCCACCTGGAGAGAAGAGGGTCGTGGGTTCGACCCTCTGCCACGTCATACCAAAAGACGATAAAAGGTTGTACTTGTTCCTACCCTGTCTGGTGCTCGACAATAAGGGGCTAAAACAAGTACTAGTTGGGTCGGAGTCAGCAAACTGTATTAAAGGTTACACAATTTGCGTTAGCAATCTTTTAACGTCTTTTGGTATGACGCAGCCGGAGATCAAACCCTAATGTTCCTGCTCTCAGGGCAGACAATCTTCCTATAGTCCATGGAGGTGATCAGCTATTTTACTTTTACTCACCAAAAACCTTATTAAGGTATTGATAAGGAACATAAACTGTCATAATAATGTTATGTTATAATGTCTTTCAACAATACACATGAGGAAGAGAATTTATGGATGTCAACTTCTTTATTATGAGGAACACAACGTTTCAGAGTATACACTTACTCCTTCATCAGGTGAATGAATGCTATGAGGCAGAGAACATGTATGTATGTATGTATGTATGTATGTATGTATGTATGTATGTATGTATGTATGTATGTATGTATGTATGTATGTATGTATGTATGTATGTATGTATGTATGTATGTATGTATGTATGTATGTATGTACGTACGTACGTACGTACGTACGTACGTACGTACGTACGTACGTATGTATATGTATGTACCTGTAAGAACAACAAAAGTAATAAGATAACAAAGGTGGTAACTTAACAAGGGAAGCCAACTGATAATTGGTGCTGATAGGTGATTACCAAAGAAAAAATGGAAGCCAACACTTAACAGTAAATTGGCACTGACAGGTAAAAGAATAGAATGTTGCTCATGGGGTACACAGTTCCAGTGACTGTCATGTTCAAATAACAAAAGTCAGTAAGAGATGGTCAAATATTTATGCCTGTCATTGTACCCAGTTAATGTCATGGACTGGTTATCTGTCATCTGAGTAAACATCTTCTCCTTTGGGGTGGTAGGGCAGCCTACTGGTTAAGCATTCACTCATCAAGCTGAAGACCCGGATTCGATTCCCCACATGGGTACAATGTGCGAAGCCCCTTTCTGATGTCTCTCTTCTCCTTAGAAACCACATAAATAATGACACTGAAACATCACATACTTGTTCCAATGATGTCACATGTGTTAACCAAATATTTCAGTAAGGCTGCAATTTCTGGATATATTCATTGCGTTTTCTTTAAATAGTTCTATGACAATGAATGAATGACAATGCTTACAACAAATCCTGTTAGATGACTGGCTTTGTTGATATTTCAAACTGTTGCCTACATGTGTTGATGTCTTTGTGAGCTACGGTGCTTAGTCAATTGTTTTTACATAAACATATGTTTTTTCACACTTCAGAGCTGCCACAGATTACCTGATGTATGTTGGGGTAAAGGAAGCTATAATTCATATTCTGATGGATGTGCTGAATAAACCCTATGAAGAAGTCAACTATGAATGTAAATCAACAGAATTTGATGCCAGTCAAGTTCCAGGGAGGGGTGTCCACATCACTGTGGATGACGAATAATGATGGCTTGGTTCACACAGGGAGGATTAAAATGCCACTGTTATACAGGATGACTGACTTGCTGGATGTGTTGTGATGATTGTGCTTGCACACTGATATCAACACCCACATATATTATCTTTACAAGAAAAGTAATTTGATGTACATGAACCACAGTGACATGTCATTTTGTAACATTAGTATTTCTTTGTATGACAATGTGTGAATTTACTAGGGTTGCAACGGGTAACTCACGAACTCTATGCTTACACTAAAAGTCACTCATGTTCGCATTTCTTTCTGACTATGCACCCATTCCTTCTGACTTAGGCTCTTCTTTTGGCCACTGATAGTAAATGCCATTTCTAACTTGAGAGCAGAATATGAATGCTATGGGTCAATATTTCTAATTTTAAGAGATTTTTTACTATATTATTACTCATGTCCACTCGAACAGAAATGGGATAACGCCTATAAACTCGACAAATAATGGAATCTGAAGATTTTCTTTTAGCTACTGATAGTAAATGCCATTTCAAACCTGTCAGCAAAGCCTGAATGCTATGGGTCAATATTTCTAATTTTAAGAGATTTTTGACTATATTATCACTCATGTCCCCTCGACCAGAAATGGGATAACGCCTATAAACTTGACACATAATGGAATCTTAAGATTTTGTTTTGGCTACTGATAGTAAATGCCATTTCTAACTTGAGAGCAGAATATGAATGCTATGGGTCAATATTTCTAATTTTAAGAGATTTTTGACTATATTATTACTCATGTCCCCTCAACCAGAAATGGGATAACGCCTATAAACTCGACATATAATGGAATCTTAAGATTTTGTTTTGAATACTAATAGTAAATGCCATTTCTAACTTGAGAGCAGAATATGAATGCTATGGGTCAATATTTCTAATTTTAAGAGATTTTTGACTATATTATTACTCATGTCCCCTCAACCAGAAATGGGATAACGCCTATAAACTCGACAAATAATGGAATCTGAAGATTTTCTTTTAGCTACTGATAGTAAAGACCATTTCAAACCTGTCAGCAAAGCCTGAATGCTATGGGTCAATATTTCTAATTTTAAGAGATTTTTGACTATATTATTACTCATGTCCCCTCGACCAGAAATGGGATAACGCCTATACACTCGACAAATAATGGAATCTTAAGATTTTGTTTTGACTACTGATAGTAAATCCCATTTCTGACTTGAGAGCAGAATATGAATGCTATGGGTCAATATTTCTAATTTTAAGAGATTTTTGACTATATTATTACTCATGTCCCCTCGACCAGAAATGGGATAACGCCTATAAACTCGACATATAATGGAATCTGAAGATTTTGTTTTGGCTACTGATAGTAAATGCCATTTCTAACTTGAGAGCAGAATATGAATGCTATGGGTCAATATTTCTAATTTTAAGAGATTTTTTACTATATTATTACTCATGTCCCCTCAACCAGAAATGGGATAACGCCTATAAACTCGACAAATAATGGAATCTGAAGATTTTCTTTTAGCTACTGATAGTAAACACCATTTCAAACCTGTCAGCAAAGCCTGAATGCTATGGGTCAATATTTCTAATTTTAAGAGATTTTTGACTATATTATTACTCATGTCCCCTCAACCAGAAATGGGATAACGCCTATAAACTCGTCAAATAATGGAATCTGAAGATTTTCTTTTAGCTACTGATAGTAAACACCATTTCAAACCTGTCAGCAAAGCCTGAATGCTATGGGTCAATATTTCTAATTTTAAGAGATTTTTGACTATATTATTACTCATGTCCCCTCGACCAGAAATGGGATAACGCCTATACACTCGACAAATAATGGAATCTTAAGATTTTGTTTTGACTACTGATAGTAAATCCCATTTCTAACTTGAGAGCAGAATATGAATGCTATGGGTCAATATTTCTAATTTTAAGAGATTTTTGACTATATTATTACTCATGTCCCCTCGACCAGAAATGGGATAACGCCTATAAACTCGACATATAATGGAATCTGAAGATTTTGTTTTGGCTACTGATAGTAAATGCCATTTCTAACTTGAGAGCAGAATATGAATGCTATGGGTCAATATTTCTAATTTTAAGAGATTTTTGACTATATTATTACTCATGTCCCCTCGACCAGAAATGGGATAACGCCTATACACTCGACAAATAATGGAATCTTAAGATTTTGTTTTGACTACTGATAGTAAATCCCATTTCTGACTTGAGAGCAGAATATGAATGCTATGGGTCAATATTTCTAATTTTAAGAGATTTTTGACTATATTATTACTCATGTCCCCTCGACCAGAAATGGGATAACGCCTATAAACTCGACATATAATGGAATCTGAAGATTTTGTTTTGGCTACTGATAGTAAATGCCATTTCTAACTTGAGAGCAGAATATGAATGCTATGGGTCAATATTTCTAATTTTAAGAGATTTTTGACTATATTATTACTCATGTCCCCTCAACCAGAAATGGGATAACGCCTATAAACTCGACAAATAATGGAATCTGAAGATTTTCTTTTAGCTACTGATAGTAAACACCATTTCAAACCTGTCAGCAAAGCCTGAATGCTATGGGTCAATATTTCTAATTTTAAGAGATTTTTGACTATATTATTACTCATGTCCCCTCGAACAGAAATGGGATAACGCCTATAAACTCGACAAATAATGGAATCTGAAGATTTTCTTTTAGCTACTGATAGTAAATGCCATTTCAAACCTGTCAGCAAAGCCTGAATGCTATGGGTCAATATTTCTAATTTTAAGAGATTTTTGACTATATTATTACTCATGTCCCCTCGACCAGAAATGGGATAACGCCTATACACTCGACAAATAATGGAATCTTAAGATTTTGTTTTGACTACTGATAGTAAATCCCATTTCTAACTTGAGAGCAGAATATGAATGCTATGGGTCAATATTTCTAATTTTAAGAGATTTTTGACTATATTATTACTCATGTCCCCTCGACCAGAAATGGGATAACGCCTATAAACTCGACATATAATGGAATCTGAAGATTTTGTTTTGGCTACTGATAGTAAATGCCATTTCTAACTTGAGAGCAGAATATGAATGCTATGGGTCAATATTTCTAATTTTAAGAGATTTTTGACTATATTATTACTCATGTCCCCTCGACCAGAAATGGGATAACGCCTATATACTTGACATATAATGGAATCTTAAGATTTTCTTTTGACTACTGATGGTAAATCCCATTCCTAACTTGAGAGCAGAATATGAATTCTATGGGACAATATTTCTAATTTTAAGAGATTTTTGACTATATTATTACTCATGTCCCCTCAACCAGAAATGGGATAACGCCTATAAACTCGACATATAATGGAATCTTAAGATTTTCTTTTGACTACTGATGGTAAATCCCATTCCTAATTTGAGAGCAGAATATGAATGCTATGGGACAATATTTCTAATTTTAAGAGATTTTTGACTATATTATTACTCATGTCCCCTCAACCAGAAATGGGATAACGCCTATAAACTCGTCAAATAATGGAATCTGAAGATTTTCTTTTAGCTACTGATAGTAAACACCATTTCAAACCTGTCAGCAAAGCCTGAATGCTATGGGTCAATATTTCTAATTTTAAGAGATTTTTGACTATATTATTACAAATGTCCCCTCGACCAGAAATGGGATAACGCCTATACACTCGACAAATAATGGAATCTTAAGATTTTGTTTTGACTACTGATAGTAAATCCCATTTCTAACTTGAGAGCAGAATATGAATGCTATGGGTCAATATTTCTAATTTTAAGAGATTTTTGACTATATTATTACTCATGTCCCCTCGACCAGAAATGGGATAACGCCTATAAACTCGACATATAATGGAATCTGAAGATTTTGTTTTGGCTACTGATAGTAAATGCCATTTCTAACTTGAGAGCAGAATATGAATGCTATGGGTCAGTATTTCTAATTTTAAGAGATTTTTGACTATATTATTACTCATGTCCCCTCGACCAGAAATGGGATAACGCCTATATACTTGACATATAATGGAATCTTAAGATTTTGTTTTGACTACTGATGGTAAATCCCATTCCTAACTTGAGAGCAGAATATGAATGCTATGGGACAATATTTCTAATTTTAAGAGATTTTTGACTATATTATTACTCATGTCCCCTCAACCAGAAATGGGATAACGCCTATAAACTCGACATATAATGGAATCTTAAGATTTTCTTTTGACTACTGATGGCAAATCCCATTCCTAACTTGAGAGCAGAATATGAATGCTATGGGACAATATTTCTAATTTTAAGAGATTTTTGACTATATTATTACTCATGTCCCCTCGACCAGAAATGGGATAACGCCTATAAACTTGACACATAATGGAATCTTAAGATTTTGTTTTGGCTACTGATAGTAAATGCCATTTCTAACTTGAGAGCAGAATATGAATGCTATGGGTCAATATTTCTAATTTTAAGAGATTTTTGACTGTATTATTACTCATGTCCCCTCAACCAGAAATGGGATAACGCCTATAAACTCGACATATAATGGAATCTAAAGATTTTGTTTTGACTACTGATAGTAAATGCCATTTCTAACTTGAGAGCAGAATATGAATGCTATGGGTCAATATTTCTAATTTTAAGAGATTTTTGACTATATTATCACTCATGTCCCCTCAACCAGAAATGGGATAACGCCTATAAACTTGACATATAATGGAATCTTAAGATTTTGTTTTGGCTACTGATAGTAAAAACAATTTCTAACTTGAGAGCAGAATATGAATGCTATGGGACAATATTTCTAATTTTAAGAGATTTTTGACTATATTATCACTCATGTCCCCTCAACCAGAAATGGGATAACGCCTATAAACTTGACATATAATGGAATCTTAAGATTTTGTTTTGGCTACTGATAGTAAAAACAATTTCTAACTTGAGAGCAGAATATGAATGCTATGGGTCAATATTTCTAATTTTAAGAGATTTTTGACTACATTATTACTCATGTCCCCTCGACCAGAAATGGGATAACGCCTATAAACTCGACATATAATGGAATCTGAAGATTTTGTTTTGGCTACTGATAGTAAATCCCATTTCTAACTTGAGAGCAGAATATGAATGCTATGGGTCAATATTTCTAATTTTAAGAGATTTTTGACTATATTATTACTCATGTCCCCTCAACCAGAAATGGGATAACGCCTATAAACTCGACAAATAATGGAATCTGAAGATTTTCTTTTAGCTACTGATAGTAAATACCATTTCTAACCTGTCAGCAAAGCCTGAATGCTATGGGTCAATATTTCTAATTTTAAGAGATTTTTGACTATATTA